CTGTAAAACTTACATTGCGCTGTATGCTTTTTTCTCAATGTTGCTTTACAAATATATTCTTTGTGATTTAATTAGCAGTATTTTAAAACCGATGATTTGGCTGACATCTTATCCTGTTCTCAGACAACCACTTGTGACTTTCAATCGAAGTGCTGCAGCCCGCGGGCAGGTGAAAGGTGGTGGCCGTGACAACGGTAAAAAAAAAACATCATGCATTTACCAATGAGACAGATGATTAGCATTATTTCCACAGTTGTGGTCTTGACTGGTCTTGAAGTAAAATGCCGAGTCCTCAGCGCCCGAGACCGAGACAAGACCGAGACCAAATGCGGTCAAGTCCGAGACGAGACCATAAAAAAATGGTCTCGAGACCAAGACCGATCTTGAGTACTACAACACTGCCTTGCACCTCCCTGCACCAGACTGTAGAGGAGACGAACAGCTCCTTAGTAACAGACTTATACACCCCGTGTGCAAAAAGTAGCGCTACCGCAGGTCATTCCTCCCTGCTGATATCAGCCTTTACAATGCCACTGCACTATAACCTGCTGTAAAAACACTGCAATAACTTACTGTATTTATCTATTTAACAAACTACTTAGCTTAGACCTAGATAGACTTTATTGTCCTTTTGTAAACACAGAGGGTATACAAAAACAAATTTCGTTCAGAACAGCAGTGCAGCAGTGATCAAATGTAAAAATAAGACTGGTATATTGTGGCATAACCAGAAACTGCACTTTACTGTACATAAGATACTGTATATATAGGTCACCTTAAATCTCTCCTTTATTTTTACCATCCACTGTTTATATCTTCATGCACCTTTTCCTCCTTTATGCACGTTTGTTTATAAGAGCCGATTTCCATGTGAATTTCTCCATTCTGAGATGTATAAAGTTCGTATATCCCACATCAACAACTACCCATGCGTTTTATTGAACTTCCTTTTTCCATGTTTTTATTGTTACTAATAACAAACACAGCTCTGCCTAATGGGACGCAGTTGGACAAACAACCTTTGACCTTTCCAAGAGAGAGAAAATAGACGATAGTGAGTCGCAGCGGACTCAGAACGTCTGACTGGGTCTACTTCCCATTTCTACAGTAATTGCACCACTATTGACTGAGCTGCTGCTGCTCACTTTACCTCAGCTTCAAAAACCGGAAACACACAAGGTGAAGAGAAGGAAGAGGAAACTGCTCATCAGCGATGTCTACCAATGCTTTTCCAATCAAAGTTCATTTTTTAAATGGGGTTTTAATGACTCCTGTGTAAATCTAATGCACAATAAAGGGTACAGGTTGGTAATGGAGCATTATAAAAAACTGTCTCATATAAGAAATCTAAAGAAACTATGAGGTTAATTCAAAGACATGAACTGAGTGTCAAAATAAAAGAATAAACTGTCCTTTTCTGTCACTAATTCTCTAAACTTGGTTTGGATCAACATTTCTTCAGACTTTAGAGTTTTTTCTTTGGTCTTTAGTTTTAAATCTGATCAATTCATCTTTCTTATTATAAATCTTTTCAATAGAGATGCGTCAATTAAATTTTTCATTTTAGATACCGATATTGCAGCTTGATGATAATGATTATTACCAGTATTGAGCCAATACAATATCAGCATAAACCTTTTATTGCTGTTTTTTTTAGTGTGGATTGATAGAAAAGTCTTGATCAGGTGATATTTCTCAAACAGAGAACAATGCTAAACAACATCTGAGATTTAAGGTTGATATATTCCAATATTTATTTATTTTTTGCTGCTGTTCAAATTAAAAGCTAGAAAGTGTAAGAAGAAAGGAAAAGAGGATGGATGGACGGACGGACGGACGGTAGTAAAGTGGTGAAAGAAAGAGTTGTATGTCATCAGCAAACAAGTGCAGATCCATTTTGGGGGTTCCTCAAGGCTTCATTCTTGGGCTACTTTTATTTAACATCTAACTATATTTATTTATTTTAAGGGATAGTGAAGGATCTTAGCGAATATATTTGTGCACATGCCCAATCTGCACAACCCGTACCCACTCCAGAGAGGGAACACCTATTAAACACGTGCGAGCGTGCACGAGCCCATTTCTTTTCGTGCACGCTCTGTCTAAATGTTGCTGTTTGCATCAGTCATACATGCTTACTGTCAGCCTCACTACCTGAGCACACAGAACGATGGCCTTACGTAAACATATCACCAGAATTATTGACAATGATGAGGATCACTTATTTTAATGAAAAAGAACATCCTCCACTATACCTTTAAATATTATTTCTAATACAACTTACTCAAATTAAAAGTAATTTTTGAACATTAAAAACTTTAGGCAGTTATTACACTATTCAGTACTTTTCATAGTAAAAATCAAGTTAAAATCGAATAAAATTGATAGGTAATATGTTATTTTAAAAACAGAATTTTGATCTATATTCTTGCATTTATTGCAACTCTGTTGAATTATTCTAACTCCCTACAAAGAAGGCAGTTACACCTCATTTAGCTGATATTGAAATAAACAACACTTAACTCCCATTTTAGCTTTATTGGACTGAGGTCATGTTAACCTGAAATTCTTATATTTCGGGTTAAATCTTGGTTGAACTAGTATTTTTTTGTTTTTTTGAGTTTTTACAATCACAAAAAACTATTGCGGGATCTCGCAAAAGTATTGCGAGATCCTGCAAAAGTATTGCGAGATGTACGGAACCCCTAAAGGGACATTAAGGGGAAAAAAAGAACTTTTGCAAGATCCCGCAATACTTTTGCAGGATCTCGCAATACATTTCGCGAGATCCCGCAATACATTTCGCGAGATCCCGCAATACTTTTGCGAGATCTCGCAAAAGTATTGCGGGATCTCACAAAAGTTTATTTTTTTGCGAGATCTCGCAAAAGTTTATTTTTTTGCGAGATCTTGCAATACTTTTGCGAGATTCAGCAATACTTTTGCAGGATCTCGCAAAAGTATTGCGGGATCTCGCAAAACTATTGCGGGATCTCACAAAAGTATTGCAGGATCTCGCAAAAGTTTATTTTTTTGTGAGATCTCACAATACTTTTGCGAGATCCTGCAATACTTCTGCGAGATCCCGCAATAGTTTTGCGAGATCTCGCAAAACTATTGCGGGATCTCGCAAAAGTTTATTTTTTTTGCGAGATCTCGCAATACTTTTGCGAGATCCTGCAATACTTTTGCGGGATCTCGCAAAAGTTTATTTTTTCCCTCCATGTCCCTTTAGGGGCTCCGTAGATATGATTCATCATAGCTGATGTTTTGGAACATTAAATCTCTTAATATGCTGATGATACTTGACTTTATCTGATATCTATTATCATTAATGGGTCAGAATTCCTGGTCAGGCTCAGGATATCAGAATATTTTAGTAACCGTGTTTTAAATGGAATAGTTTCCTTCCCGTTTTAGTGTTTAATATAATCTTGCTTGGATCGTTAAATGCCTGCAAAGTATTTTTACTGCGCTTGTTTGACTGCTGCTATATAACTAACATCAAGTTTACCCAGAAGCCCTTTGGCAAAGCACTGAACCTTGTTCTACTCCAAAAAAAGAAGAAGATTAAAAACAATCAACTTGGAAACAAAGTCCAGTGGATTGTTTTTAAATTTCCTTTCTTTTTTTTGGAAAGACTAAGACCTGGATGACAGAACCTTCACCAGCACACTTGTTCTCCTCCTATTGAGCGACAGCAAGAGGTGTTAGAACAAAGGCTGGATGAAGCTGGAGTCATGAGGGTGGAAAAACCAGCATGGAGAGCTGAAAGGTCGAAGTGCCAGTTTTATTACGGCCGTCACCTTCCGGAACAGGCCTGACAACAAACAGTCAGCAGAAAACTGGGAAGAGTCAGCTGTTTAAGTGGGAAAAGGAGCAGCCATTCCTCCCAGGATCCGCAGGCAGGAAGCTGCTGGACTCACCTGGATGATGTGCTGGCAAAGTCCCCCCCATCCACCAGCCGGATCTTACAGAACAGGACTCCATTGACAAAGGGCACTGCTGTCAGCTCCTCCAGAGTGAAATGCACCTGAAACTTGAACCTTTTCTTTTTGGTTAAAAAGGCCATGTTGCCCAGCTGCTGCTGCAGGGAGCTGATCCTGAGGAGGAGCAACAGGAGGTTGAATAAATAAAGAGGAGCAGTGGATCAGGTTCTAAAGAGGAGGCAGGATTTCCTTCTTCTCTTCCAGGTTAATCATTACTGAGGACCTGCAACCAGAGGGGAGGATGTCAGACAGACAGCAGGACAAACTGGCTTCATGCTTTCTGTTCACATGCAGTCAGATCCAAAACCAAACCTTCATCTAGAAGCGGTTTCAGATCCCACTCCACGCTGCCACGCAAACACCGCAGCCATAGAGGTCTCCCCCTCCCCGCACAGACTCACCGCACGTCCCGCCTGCAGTTCATCCTTCTGGGTCTGAAGCGGCTTCGGACGGATCGGAACTTCCTGCTGGTCAAACTTCAGCAGCTCTTAGAGCGGGTTGATCCCCGCAGCCCGCATTCACACCCGCTGCGTGTCTCCGGCGGTGTTGAAGTGAAACACGCCGCGCCCCTTCACGGGAGCGCGCATTTTAAACCAGGAGCGCATCAGAGAAAAAACAACTAAATGAGCATTTTATCACTTTATTTCAGATATTCTGCTCTAAATGTTTAGCTTTTATAGCACCATCTCTTCAATTCCATTCAGTTTAGTTTATTTATATAAACTGCGCTTTAGAAATAAACTACGGAAGAGTATTAGGGCCACTGGAAAAAAAAAAAAGTTAACTGA